TATTCATCTATAAAAAATGAAATTGTATCATTTGCAGGAAAATGGATGCAACTGAAGGCCATTATGTTGAGTGAACGAGGCTGGACCCAGAAAGACAAATTCCACATATTTTCCCTTATATGTGGGAGCTGAAATTTAAAACAACAAACAAAAAAAAGTGTATATCACTATTGCTGCAAATATAGTTTTGTAGAACTTTGTTTTAAAGATAAAATAAAATACTGGGTCATTATCTTACACAAAATGTGTATTACAAGCTCAGAACTGAACCCCTGCCTTGATACTGCAGTCACAATACAGTTGCCAGCACAGATCTGTGCTCAGAGCAGGTGCACAAACGCTCACCCAGGGAGGCTAGCTGATTTGTGGTAAGGTTTTCATCTGTTTACACAAATAGAAGACAATCTAGTGAATTTTCCATAGAATTACATTTCATTAACTTAGAGAATTTTATTCTGAAAGTCTGTTCCTTTTATTTCAGTTTAGATATAAAAATATTAACAGTAAAATTTGTATTAAAAATATTTTACAAAATCATGTGTGATTCTCATTCAAAGGCTTGAAGTCCCACACTGTGGGAGGACAGGAGTGTGGCTGAGCTACTACTGTAATGGGCTCTCTGGGAAAATACAAAGCTGGAAACCTTAGCTGGCCCTCCACATGGGCAGGGGGGAGCGGTTTATACTCAGGCTGTCTTTGCTTTCTGTTACTATAGCTGAGTCCCACAGACTGGGCAATTTATAAAGAATAGACGTTTACCTAGCTTGTGGTTCTGGAGGCTGGGAAGTTCAAGAGCATGGAGCCGGCTTCTGGTGAGGGCCTCCTTGCTGCATCACAGCACCTGGTGAGATGGAGCAAGCTGCCAGCTTGGGTCTCCCTTCCTCTCCTTATGAACCTATGAATGTCACCAATCAAATCCTGATTACTTCCCCAAGGCCCCATCTCCAAATACCACTCACATGAATTTGGGGATTATGGTTCCAACACATGAACATTTAGGTATGCATCAAACCACAGCGAAGCCCCTTGAAATCCAAAAGTTAGACCCTTTTAAACAGGATGGAGAATGGAGAGCGGGGTGGCCGTCGACTTGGGCTGCACTGGCTTTCTGACCCTTTCTGTCTGAGCATTTACCTTAGCGGCTCTGCAGGTCAGCCCAGGACAGTGACAAATGAGCCAGCAGCATGCACTAGGCAGCGTGGACCAATGAGATGATGAACTGGGGTGGGACCAGGGCCAGCTTTCTGGAGCTCAGACCATGGAAGGGGCTGGGCCTGTGGGAGATGGAATGAGTCTTGTCTTTCAGTCTCTTAGAGACGTTGTCCAGGAGTGTTTGCGCCTGTTTGGGCTCAAAAGCAGAGGGAGGGATGGCATGCAGCTATACTAAGATGGCTGGAAGCAAAGCACCCAAGACGTGATCAACAGTGATGTATAAGGAAGGAGCCCCAAAAGCCCCTGGAAGGCTGTGCTGTGGAGATCTGGGAACCCATCCTGGGGGAACTGCTAGGTTTGACAAAGTCAGTCTTCTTCACCAAAGGGCTTGTCACATGGCAACGTGAACTGTGAATGTCCAGGAATGAAATATACAGGCTTCCCCAAAGGACAAACCCTCTACCTGGAAACTGCCATGGAAAACGGGAGAAATGGATGGAGGTTATAGGCAGCCTCAATTCTGAGGTTCACAGGCTGAGTCTGGAACATGCAGACTCCTGGACCCCATCTCAAACAGGGCCCAGGGATCTGCACGTTGAACAAGCTCAAGCCAACGCAAGGGCTCCAGGGGCCACCCTTGGAGAAGCGCGGAGTGCCGATGAGGCAATACCAAGGAGCAGAGGCCTGGACAGCTCAGCTTTGGGCAGTGCTCCTGGACCAGCCTGCTGGAGGCTAAGGGCTCCGAGCTGCAGCCAGGTTAACTCCCTTCCCCTTGCTCTAAGGGGTGGGGAGCCACGGCGGCCCCTGCAAAGCCGTTCATCTCCCCTCTGGTGTCTGAAGTGAGGTATTGCAGCTTGGGCCTACCCCAGGGCTGTCCCCAGAGATGGGCCTCTTTCAGAAAGCCTCTCCGAGTTTTCCTTTGCCTCACCCGCTTCTGTAACACACCCCAGTATGCCACTCCTCCCTTGGGTGTCTCTGAAATGGGCATTTTAGAGCTCATGGGAAATGTAGGGCACCCACAGCTCTGTCTCAGACAGTAGGGAGCCCTGGGGACAGGACTGCAGCAACCAAGGAGCAAGCACCTGTGATAGAACCAGCTGGGGAGGAAGAGGCCGCGGTCACACCTACCCAGCAGATAAACCAAGAGTCCGCAGGACTGAGTCCCATAAACTGGGCTCTGTGTGGCTCCACTTACACAACATTGTGGACAAGGCAGACTCACAGGGCACAGGGCCCTGGCCAGCAGTGGCTGTGTGGGGATGAGCTGGGGCAGGTACCTGCCATCGGGCTGGGAGACAGGACCCTACGCCAGTAGACTCTGTGCCAGAGAGAGGAGAGATCCACCTGCTTGGCTAGTGCACAGGACTCTTCCACCCCTGCCCTGGTTGCTGACTAATGTCTTAGGGATGCAAGAGGCCAGGGGGGAATGGGTGTGGCCAGGGAGCCCTAGAGGGGTGGGTCACAGGGTCTTGGGTAGGAATAAGAATAAAAAGAGCAACTGACTTGATCAGAGTTTCCTGCGCGCGCCAGATGCAGGTGCTGCGGGCTTTGTAAGCATCATCTTGTCCAACCCTCATGGCAACTCTGTGAGCTCCTTACTACCCCCATGTCACAGGGGAGGAGCCTGGGGCCCAGGGGTGGTAGGCAGACTGCACAAAGTGACCCGGCTCGTATCAAAGAGGAGGATTAGGACACAGGCGCCGCAGGCTCCCAAGCCCTGGATGGCCACACAGGCTGTGACAGAAGCGATGATGGAGAATCTTCTCCCACCCTCCAGCCATGCACCCGGCCTGCCTTGGCTGCTTCCCCGACTTCCTGTTGCATCCACCCACAACCCCAGTTACCTCTCTGGGCCTGGGGGTGGATGTTAGTGCTGCCTGTCAACATCTCCACCTGCTCGGGGTCACTGGGTAGGATTGCACTTTCCACTCCCCTGATGGTAGGTGTTGTCACGTGACCGCCTTTGGCCAGTGAAATATGAGCAGATGGTTTAGAAGCCAGTGGGAGTAAGAGCCCTCCCCTGTGCTACTGCTGCGGTGTCTGGGGAGGGACGTGGGGCTGGTGTCTGGGGGAAGCCTCATTTGGCCAGGATCCCTGAGCCAGCAGGGTAAGCAGAGGCCACTGCTGATCTGTGTTGCGCATGTAACGTGTGTCAGAACCAAACCTGGGTTGTGGGAGCCACAGGGATCAGGGATTGTTCGTCCCAGCAGCACCTGACCTGTCCTGGCTGCAGAGGGCCCCAGAGAACCAGCAAAAGCCCGGTCTCCTCCAACCCTTCTCTAAGGCAGATGGTCCCTAGTTCTTTCAGTTCGGTCTGCAGTACATTGATTTCTCCCCTGATCTTAGTGCTTTTTAAAAAATGTTTTCTCGTGTACTTCAAAGACAGAGAGACATCTTCCATGTGCTGAAGTCAGCAGCCTAGAACTCCATCCGGGTCTCCCACCCCAAACACATGAAGCATCATCTGTTGCCTCCCAGGGTGCACTAGGAGGAAGCTGGATCAGAAGCAGAGTCGCCAGGACTTGAACTGGTGGCCCCTGTGGGATACGGGCGTCTCCAGTGGAGGGGGGCTTCACCTGCTGCACCACAGCGCGGGCTGCCTCACCTGATCTCTTCTTCCAGACCCACTGACGGGCGAGAGCCGACCACAGTCATCTGGGAGCAAATGCCAGCCTGCTGCCTCTTTCTGGTCTTCAGCGATGCAGCCACTGAGTGCTCTGAGCCTGCAGCAGGCGCACAGGGCCAATCCCGCCCCCGGCTTCCACGCTCACCTGCGTAGTTCTGCTTATTTAGAATCTAGATAAAGCGGAGGCTCAAGATGTAGAACTAGCACTGCTACTGACTTACCGGATTGCTACAGGTAAATTACCGAACTCCTCTGGGCCGGTCTTCTCAAGTAGGATCAAAATAATAAAACTAGTTATAAGCATCACATAGGGGCAGGTGTTTGTAGCAGTGGCTAAGCTAAGGCTTCAGATACCCATATCCCGTGCCAGAATGCGAGAGTTTGGCTCTCATCCAGTCTTCTGCTACCATGCACCCCGGGAAGTGGCAGGTGATGGTTGAAATGCTTAGGCCCCTGCCACCCACATGGGAGACCCGGGTGGAGTCCCTGGTCGCTGGCTTCAGCCTGGCCAGCCCCGGCTGTTATGAGCATTTGGGGAGTGAACCAACAGGTGGACGGTCACCTTCTGTGTGCGTCTTTGCCTTTTACATACATAAACAAACAGGGAATAAAGAAACAAGCCACGAGTCACGTAGAGCGAGTGCCAGCGCCTTCCTGGGGTCTCCTGGGCCTGAAGAGCTATTCTTTCCCTGTTGTGACTCACCACCCCCATGTCCTGGAGATTCACAAGCCTGGGGGAGGGGAAGGCATTTCTGGAATGAGGTTCCAGGAGCTCCTGGGCCACTGCTGTGTCCCAGTCTGAGTCTCAGGCCTGCCAGGAGCCCCTCCTAAGCCCCCTCCAGGTCGCAGCTGTCTGCCTCCCCTCCCCCCTCGCAGGGGGCCGCCCCGCAGGGACTGGGGGAAAGGGAAGTGGACGCCAGGCTGCAGATGTGCTGAGCTCAGAGAAGGCTGCTGGGCTAATCCGGGGGCTGCTGGCCAGGCTGGGCCCGAGCCTCAGAAGTAAGCTTTCAAGGGGCCCTGTCCTGCCTGCTGGCCGCCTGTGGCCGGGCTCGAATTTCCAAGGTCCCCAGTTTAGGAACAGCTGCGTGGCCTCCCCTCCCCTGCCTCCATTTTCCCTCCCGTCTTCCCCACTGTGAGTCAAAGAGATAGCGGGGCAGGGCTAGCAAGGGGTCTGGACGGAATCCAGGCGGCTCCAGTCACTCAACCCGGGTCTCTGTGAAGCCTCGGGGAGCTCAGGCACCTGGGGTTCTCCAGCCTTTCAACTCCCAGACACACTTCCTGCTGCTTTCCATCCTGCCAACAACCTCGCTCAGCTCTGATGTTGACTCCTGGCTACCCCTGGGCTCCTCGGCTGCCTGACTCCTCAGGATGCCTTCTACCCAGTGGGGTGTTGGGAGGCCAGGCCTGGGGTGGGGACCTCCTGGTGGGGTGCACCCCTCCAAGGCAGCCTTCCCCCTCCCCCAGGTCCCTAACTGCCCCCTCTCCGACCTCTCTTCCATGTTCCTGCACTATCTCCCACCCCAGGGCTGGGCTGTTGCGTGGAAAGACTGGTTTTATCTTCAACTGTCTTGTGTTTTCTCTTGGGCAACTAAGGAAATGAAGAGCCTGACAGGGTGAGAAACCTGACTTGTTCACGGAAACAGGAAATGGCAAAGCCAGGATTTGAACCCAGCCGGGATGACGTCTGAGCCCCTGCTCTTTCTCCACCCCACCACGTGGCCTGGAAAGGCCCTGAGCAGTCCCCCTGCCCGGGGCAGGCAGGGCAGCCCAGCAACGTGCCCTGACCTGAACACCTCCTGGGCCCCAGGGGAGGCAGACGTGGGCCACTGCAGCAGAACATGATTGGTCATCTCTCGCCTTTCCATGCTGGGTGGACGCGACTCTGGGGAAACAGGTGGGTGCTGGGAACACAAGGCAGCTACTTCATCGGGTGCCCACCAGGGAATCAGGGACCCAAGCCGAGGCGGGGGTTTTCAGAGACTGCATGGGCACTCCCACCAGCTGTGTGGGATCTCAAGATCATCTTACAGAGTCCCTACCATGTGATTATAAACCAAGCCCCAAACATCGAGTAGGGGTTACCCCTTACTCCAAAGGAGCTCGCCTTTACATGGTGGGCTTCCAGGACTGGGGAGCACGCCTGGGGCCCTGGGGCCTCCTGGGACTGCAGTCTGACACCATGTGGTCCTCCACCACGCTAGGTTTTCAGCATGGTGTGATGAAGGAGCGTTAGATGGGGAACGGGATCTGAGTCCCAACAGGGCTCTGCTGCAGAACCATGTGAGTCCCCCAGACCCCCCGGGCCCCGGGCTCCCCTCGTCAGTTGGACAGATGATCCTGATGAAATGCTGCAGGCCCTGAGGTCTACATCTGGGCTGGAGATGGCTGAGGACCCTGCCCTAGGAGCAGTCCTGCCTCTGGTGCCAGCTCCACTTGCCTGTGGCCCCTTGCTCCTGGCGCAGGACCGGTTACCGGATCTGCTTCCAGGAATAGTGTCATCACCTCATGTTATGGGTGGGAAAATTCTTTTGTTGCCTGCGGGGCCTGTATGGCCTTCTCTGCCTCGTCCGATTCCTAACACTTCCACCCTCCCTGTGTCCCTATTTCAAATCTCCTGTGTCCTGGCCGTGTGCGACCCAGGTTTGCTTTTTTTCCTGGGCCTCAGACTCAGGATCCCTGGGTGTGTAACCTCCTGGGTGTCCCACCCCTTGAAAGCCGACACTGCCCTTTCTTTCTGTCTCAAAGGTCCATGTTGCAGGCTGGCTCCGTGGTGTAGCTGGTAAAGCTGCTGCCGGTGACACCAGAATTCCATATGGTCGCCAGTTCGAGTCCCAGCTGCTCTACTTCCCATCCAGCTCTCTGCTAATGCATTTGGGAAAGCAGCAGAGGATGGCCCAGGTCCTTGGGCCCCTGCACCCATGTGGGAGGCCTGGAAGAAGCTCCTGGCTCCTGACTTCAGGTTGGCGCAGCTCTAGCCGTTGTGGCCATTTGGGGAGTGAACCAGCAGATGGAAGATCTCTCTCTCGCTCTGTGTGTGTGTGTGTGTGTGTCTCCCTCTTTCTCTGTATGTAACTGTGCCTTTCAAATAAATAAAAATAAATCTTTAAGAAAAGTCCATGTTTTGGCTTGAAATAGACATGGGCCCAATTTCCCTTTCCCATCAGCTGGGTGACCTTGGACAGGTCCCCTGAGCTCTGAGGCTTAGCTCTGACATTTGCGAAGTTGGAACTAAGCAGCTCCTTCCTCTGCGTGCTTACTCGAAGCCAGGCTGACAGCCAAGTCCTCACAACGAGCCAGCGAAAGGAGAGCAGTTACCACTCTCACAAGGAAGCTGAGAGAGTACTCACTGGCAGAGGAGTATTCTGTATGCGTGGAATCAACCACACAAGACAGGGGAATATTCCACTGCATGTGGGTAATTCTTCCTGTTCTTTCATCCACTCAAAGACACTGGGTTCTACCATCGGGCCTGCTATGGTTTGGGAGTGTCCCCTGGAATTCATGTGTTGGCAATGTAATCCCCAAAGTCACGTGTGAATAATATCTGGGGATGAGACCTGTGGGAGGCGTACGGGGCACCAGGACCCTGGCCTTGTGAAGGAAGGCATTAGTGGACCAGTGGGGTTATTATGGAGGGTGGGTTGGTTGTCACGAGAGTGGATCTGTTACAAATCCAGCTTGGCCATCTCTCCAGAGCCCCCTCCCATGTGACGCCTCACACCCTATGGCATACTGCAGAGAGTCCCCGCCAGATGCAGCTCCTTGGCCTTGGCCTTCCCAGCCTTCAGAACTGAAAAAAAAAAAAAAAAAAAAAAATTTCTTTACGTATTACCCAGTGTCGGGCATTCTGTTAGAGCAACAGAAAACAGACTCGTTGGAAGCCTGAAGTAAGCCTTGCTCTGCCACTTGGCCCTTTGGGGTGAGCACCGCCCCATGCAGAGTGCTCCTCCCCGTGGAATGTCCTCAATTGAAAAATGGGCTCCTGAGTCCCCTGACAGGTGGCTGTGGGACTCTTTGGAGACCAGATCTACAAAAGGGGCTTGTAGGTTCTAACGCCTTATACAGAGGGGAGAGGAACACACTAGCACTTCTGATGCGCTGTGGCTCAGGCAGGCGAGGTCCAGTGGCTGAGTTCTGGAGGGATGATGGCTCTGTCCCAAGGTGGGGTTTACCTTGCCCCCCCCCCCCCACCTCCATCCCCAGCTCCTGGCTTCAGGCCCTTTTGGCCAGTAACACACTTGAACCAAACCTGGCTCCCAGCCCCAGCCCTGCACCTGATCCACATTAACCTGCCCGTCGCCTTGCCAGGCTTGAGTTAAATTAAGCCGATTCCTGGCTAACATTTCTGTCCCCATAAACTGAACACATTCTTCCCCACCCCGTTCCCCTCCCATGCATAGCTGGGCCCTCCCATCAGGCCTGGTAATGAGACCATGAGGGGGCCTCCTGTCTCAGTCTCCCGAGGCTATCCTTGGGCTGTAAGCGGGAGAGTGAGGGTCCTCACACCTGGACCCCAGGCCAAGCCCTTGTGGAAGGCTCGTGTGGGCTCCCCCTTCTCTCCCCTCCATGCACACGTGCCTTTCTGAGCCCCTTCTAAATGCCACAGTGCTCCCTGTCCCTTAAAGCTCACATTCTAGCGAGAGGAGACAGACAGGAATCACACAGCGAGGCAGTCACACAGGCTGTTAGAAGGTAATGGGTGCAGGGAGGGGGCCAGGAGGGGGCGGGTGGCGGGGCAGAGAGGAGGGAGGGAGGCCTGGACAGGTGTCCCAAAGAAGACGACAGCTGAGGAGGCCAGAAGCGCCCCAGGACTGGTGTTTTGGAGCGCTGGTGCTCACTGTTTCCAGGGCTGGGACAGAGTCATTGGCATGGCTCTTCTGGGTGGGGCCAGGAGCCTGCTTCCTCCTCTCCTGGTCTGCAGGTGCAAGTCCTGTGAGCTTAGCGATGCCAGGATGGCTGGGAACTACAGTCGGGGTTTGGCCAACATGAGCTCCTGGCCTGAGCCAAGCATGTGGGCCCTGTCCAAAGCAAAAGGCCCCCAGTCAACTCGCTGACTGCTGGCCGTGCTCAGCACTGATGCCGGGGGCGTTCATGGGGTACGGGGAGCCACACCTGGGGAAGGCGACCCGTGCTTCATGGAGGAGCCTTGGCATGTGCACTGCTGGGGACAGGCATGTCTTCTCCTTATCTTTCTAAATTTTAGTTTCTGGGGTGAACATTTGGCCAGGCAGTTAAGACGTCTGCATCCCTTATCAGAGCAGCTGGGCTCCAGTGCTGGCTCCTGCTTCCAGATCCCGGGCAGCACAGGTCATGGCTCAAGTGCCTGAGTCCCTGCCACGCTTCTGGGCGCCTTGACGGACAGCGTTTCGAGAGGGAACCAGCAGCTCGTGGGAGCTCTCTCTGGGTCTCTGTGTCTTTCTGCCTTTTTGCCTCGCAAATAAAAAATAGCAATAAAAACCCTTTCTGTATCTAGAAAAGATATAAAAGAAGAGTGAAAATTGCTTTTTCTGAACTTTTTTTTCCCTAAACTCCAATGTCAAGTGAAATTCTACCTGAAATGGCTTTGTAACTTGAAAACACTAATATAAAATACAGTTATCAGTAATTCATCCAAATTGTATTCGCTTTGTTGTGGGAGCCAAGCAGGAAGCTTGGGGGCAGGGACCGGGTGGGGGCCGTCTCCTCCCCCCTTGTCTGCACTCCCCCACTTCCTGTCAGGTCCAGGCCACCCTGCACTCCGTGGGGTATGGAGCAATCCAGCCGGGATGGCTGCTGCCTCTAGGGGCAGGCTCACTGGAGCCACACAGGAAGCGAGGTGGTGCTGCAGGAGGCGACACAGCAGGATGAGATTCTTCCCAACATACGCCTCCCCTGGGCACCCGGCGATGGAGAGCCCAGCAGAGCAGAGCAGAGAGCCCAGCTGAGGAAGGAGGACACAGCCACTGGTGTGTGCGGCCATCTAGCCCTACCCAGCATGCTCGGGGCCAGCCCCGGCGTTCTGCAGGGGACGCTGGAGGGAAACCCGTGCCCGGAGAGAGCATCTCTAAGCAAGGGTATAGCTGCCCTGGGCCACCTCAGGGATGGGGGCAAGGGGTGGGCCCCGTACAAAAACTCCAGCTTAGGAGTCCTTCCTGACTTGGGTGTTCACGGCCACATGGTGGGAGAGGAGATTTATAAAGGCGGTTAACTCACGACATTCTGGAGGCGGAGAAGCCAAGATGCGTCCAGCAGTCTTGGAACGAGGGAAGCCGCCGGTGTAAACTCTCAGCCAGAGGCCAAAGGCCTGAGAACCCAGGGGCTGCTGGCGGAGAAAGGTCGGCGAGCCTGGAGTCCCGGTGGCCAAGGAGGGAGAGGAGGAGCATCTTGCGCCCCTGGGAGAGAGACACACATCTGCCTGTCTTCTCTTCTGTTCCCTCTGCGTCCCCCAGAGGACTGCACGGTGCCCTTCTGTGTGGAGGGCAGGGCTGCTAAGACTCAGAGGCTGATCTCTGGGCGCACCCTCCCAGACACTGCTTTACCAGGCTTCCTTCACCCAGGAGGCAGGATCACCGAGCAAGTGGACCCCTGCTTCCTGCGCCTCGGTCAGAAGCCTAGGGACCTCAGAGTCACTGTGCACATCCGGCCTCAAGTAGGAATCCCGGGCAAAGCCAGGGGCAGACGGCCAGCCGACTTCTGTTTGCGTGCTTCCAGCGATGGGGCGCTCAGTACTCCTTAGGCAGTCCCTTCTGTTGCCAACTGGCTTGCTCTAGCTGTGAGTGAGGCTCAAAACCTGCCTCCCTGTCATGGCTGCCCAGTGGACACGGCTGCCGCTTCCTCCAGGCAGCCTTCCCAAGACTTCAGGGACTGTGTCCTCTCCAGTCCCTGCCGGCACGTCACACCTCGCCGCCCCCCACGTGGCTTCCAGGTAAGGCCCCTCTCTTCCTTCCTCCCCTCTAACCTGGAGAGGAAGAGTACACGGACCGTCTCCTGGTGAGCTAGGCAGGAGACCACATCTCTGACCAGGCCCCCTTCACAGTTCTCCTCCCTTCCCCCTCCTCCAGAGCAACCCTGTCACCCTCCTCCTCCTGGGAGCCCCTTGGTAGTCAGCAGCCGCCCGGCAGGGAGGAGACTGCATCCTCCCCCAGCCCCACCTGAGGTCCTGCTGCGGGGGGAACACGTTTGCTCCGGCCCCGAGCTGCTGCTCCCCTCTGAGTCTGGTTTGCTGGTGCCGTTCTGTGCCCACGTCCTTGCTCGGCCTCCCAGATCAAAATGTCCGTGAACAGCGCTCCCCGCTGTCTTCCAGACTTCGGCGGCCGAGGTGTCTCTGGGGAGCTTCCCTGACGACCTTGGCCGTCCACCCTGTCCTGCAGAGTTGGGTGACTTTGACTCAACACCACTTGCACCCCCTCCAGACCACTTGCTCCATGACGCCCTCAATGCAATTGTTTTTCTAACCTTAAAAGTTTTCTTAAAAAAAAAAAGATTTATTTATTTGTTTGAAAGTCAGAGAGAGAGAGAGAGAGAGAGAGATCTTCCATCCACTGGTTCACTCCCCAAGTGGCTGCAATGGCCAGGCCTGGCCCATGCTGAAGTCAGGAGCCAGGGCCTTCATTTGGGTCTCCCTGCTGGGCAGCAGGAGCCCAAGTACTTGGGCCATCTTCTGCTGCCTTTGCCAGGCCATTAAGAGAGCTGGATTGGAAGTGGAGCAGCCGGGACACAAACCAGTGCTCCTATGCAATGCCGACATCACAGGCGGTGGCTTCACCTGCTATGCCCCAATGCCAGCCTCTATCTGTACTTGAATATTTTCCAGCTTTGGACATTTCATATCCTCCATGCCAAATATAAGCCTTCTATAACATGCAGGCCAAAGTCAAGTGGGACTATCACCTCCACGGTTCTAGGTTTTTATTTCAGAGACAGGAGGTGGGTCAGGAGGAGTCAGAGAGCTCTCCCATTCACTGGTTTACTCCCCAGATGTCTGCAATGACCAGGCATGGGCTGGGTCAAAGCTGGGAGCCAGGAACTCAATCCAGTTCTCCCACAAAGGTGGTAGGAACCCCAATTTCTTGAGCCATCACTGCTGCCTCCCAG